GATGCTTCCTAACTGCCCACTGACTTTCTGTCCCACACTTGCCCGCCTGCACCCCAACCACAGCTTGGGGCCTTTTTATGGGGGTCTGCCCAGCAGCCCCCGGGCACCATAGAAGCCTAAGGCACCCCTGCTCCCAAGCTAAGCAGGGTCAAGCCTGGCAGGTTCTTGAATGAAAGACCACTTGGGAAGGTGGGGGGCTGGAGGGTTTTGTCTTCCTGCTTTCCCCCACTTGTCAATGCTTTCCAACCCCCGCTGAGTTTCTGTCCCCCATTTCTAGCCTGAATGCTTCACCACCATGGACAGGGACCTCCCCGTGGATATCTGTCCCGGCAGCACCCTGGCACCATAGCAGCCTGAGGGCGCCCCAGTCCGGAAGCCAAGCGGTGTTTGGCCTGGCGGAGACATGGATGGCAAATCGCCTGGGGAGACCGGGAGCTGGAGGCTCATGGATTTCTGTTACCTTCTTGCTCTCTGCTGCTTCTTACAGTGCTTTCTAACTGAGACCTGACTCTGGCTACATTTCCCGCCGCCCTGCCACGGCCTGAAAATTTCCCATGTGGGTCAATTCCAGCAGCCCAAGGGCCCATGGCAACCTGAGGACTCCCAGGCCAAAACGCTGAGGAGGGTTGTGTCTGGCTGGGGCTCGGATGGAGGACTGCAGGAAGACTGGGGACTGAAAACTTTTGGCTTCCTGCTTCTTTCCCACCTTTCCCTGCTGGTCATGATGCTTCCTGACCATCCGCTGACTGTGCCCCTCCCCTTTCTGGCCTGCCTTCACCCATGCTGCTGCGACCCAGGACCTTACCACGAATGTCTGTCCAGGCAGTCCTCCGTCACGCTAGCAGCCGGAGGGCCCTCAAGCCTGGAAGCTAAGCAGGGTCTGGCCTGGCTGGGGCTTAGATGGGGGATGGTCTGGGAAAACAGGCGCTGGAGGCTTTTGGCATCCTCTTTCTTCTGCTTTGCCCCACTTTCCCCAACGCTTTACAATGGCCCCCTGACTCACTGGCCCCCTTTCCACTGGCCTGTGCTCCCACGGCAGCCTGGGATGTTCTTGTAGGGGTTCGCCTGGCAGCCCTTGGATGCCATAGCACCCTGAGGGGGCCCCAGCATGGAAGCTAAGCAAGGGTCGAGTCTGGTTGGGGCTTGGATAGAGAGCTGTCTGGGGAGACTGGGGGCGGGAGGCTTTTTCCTTCCCTCTCGCTTTTCGCTTTCCCTCCCTTGTTGCAACACTTCCCAACCACCCCGACTCTGACCCCATCTTTGCTGACAGCCTGCAAGCCTGTCTCAGCCTGGGACCTTTCTGTAACAGTAGCAGCTTGAGGGTGCCCCAGTCCATGAGCTAAGCAGGGTCGGGCCTGGCTGGAGCTTGGATTGAGGACCCTCTGAGAGTACAGGGGATGGGAGGCTTTTGGCTTCTTGCTCCATTCCCACATTCACCCTCTTGTCGCAAGGCATCCCAGCAACACCTTGACTCTCTGGCCAGCCTCAGCCTTGCCTTGGCCCAGGACCCCCCTGAAGGGGGCTGTTTCCGAAGTCACTGAGCACCATCACAGCCTGAGCGGCCCCAACCTGGAAGCTAAGCAGGGTTGAGCCTGGCTGGGGCCGGGATGGGAGACCACCTGGGGAAACCAGAGGCGATAGGCTTTTGGCTTCCCAATCCTTTCCTGCTTTCTTCCACTTGTTCCAACGGTTTTAACCGGCCTTTGACTCTCAGGTCCCCCATTGCCTGCCCACCTCTGCCACTCCGCAGCCCCTGACCTTTTCTTAGGGATCTCTTGTGGCAGCTCCCAAGTGGCATAGCAGCCTGAGGGCCACCCATTCCTAAGGCTAAACAGGTCTGGATCTGGCTGAGGCTTGGATGAAAGACCACCTCGGGGAAAAGAAGGCTGGAAACTTTGGCTTCCCTCTCTTTTTCTGTGTTCTTCTGCTTGTCACAGCGCTTCCCAACCTCCTCCCTACTCTCTGGTCCCCTCTTTTGTACCAGCCTGCACGTGACCTCCCTGTGGGATTCGTGCCAGCAGCCCCTGGTGCCATAGCAGCCTCAGGGCACCCCAGCCCAGAAGCAAAGTAGGGATGGGCCTGGCTGGAGCTTGATGGGGGACAGCCTTGAGAGACCCAGGGCTGGAGGCTTTGGGTTCGCGCTCCCTTCCTGCTTTCCCGCGCTTGTCACACTGCTTCCAAACCTCCCCGACTCCCTAGCTATCCCTTTCCCCCATGCCTGGCTCATACCAGATACCTCCCTGTGGTGGGCCATCCTGGCAGCCTTTGAGTGCCATAGCAGCCTGAATGTGCCCCTTCCTGGAAGCTAAGCACGGTCAGTTCTAAGACTTGGATTGGGGACTGCATGGGGAGACCGGAGGCTGTAGTATTTTGGCTTCCTACTCTTTTCCTGCTTTCTGCCATATGTTGCAATGCTTTCCACCAGCCCCCTTATTTTTTGGCCATCCGTTTCCCATTCCCCTGCTCCCCCATTTTCACAGGAGCCTCCTGTGGAAGTCTGATGCAGCAGCTTTCAGACGCCATAGCAGCCTGAGGGTGCCCCAGCATGGAAGCTAACCTGGCTCAGGCCTAGCTTGGGGTTGAATGGGGGATTACCTGGGAAGACCAGGGGCTGGAGGTTTTGTACTTTCTGTTGCCCTCCTGCGTTCCCCCATAGCAAACACAGGTCCCGGTGGGTCAGAAAATCTACATGAGGAAAGGAGGCTGAAATAATGTGGGACACCGGTGGGGGGACTGTAGCAAACTGCAAGGTATTCACTTCAGAGATTTTTCAATACTGTGATGGGCAAACCAAACACAGAAACGGGAAGCCCAGTTCAGTCACCAGCAGCCAATGTGGGATATCTGACTGTACATGCTACAGGGCAAACTGCGTGGGATGAAAGATCTGGTCTCCACCAACCTGTTCTTCAAGTCCAGACACTCCTGCGCAAGTCCCCACACTCTAGTGGGGACTGACACCTTTGCTTGTTGAGTCTTCTTGTTACCCTTTATTTTTTTAACCCAACAAATATATTTTTTTCATTTTTTCTCCTTGTTTTGAGACAGAGTCCACCTCTGTCACACAGACTTTGGAGTACAGTGAATTACGAGTCATTGCAGCTTCTATCATTTGGGCTCAAGTGATCTTCCCACCTCAGCCTCCCAAGTAGTTGAGATTAGTCATGTGCCACCATACCCAGCTAAGTTTATTATTATTATTATTATTAAGACAGAGTCTCACTCTATCGCCGAGTCTGGAGTGCCTTGCAACGTTGGCTCACTGCAACCTCTGACTGCTGGGTTCAAGCATTTCTCCTGCCTCAGCCTCCCAAGTAGCTGGGGTTACAGGTGTGCACCATCAAGCCCAGGTAATTTTTGTATTTTTAGTAGAGACAGGGTTTGACCATGTTGTCCAGAATGGTCTCAATCTCTTGACCTCATGATCTGCCCACCTTGGCCTTCCAAAATTCTGGGATTACAGGTGTAAGCCACCATGCCTGGCCAACCTTTTTTCTTTATAAGCTACCCAGCCTGATGTGTTTTCTTATAGCAATGCAAAATGGACCAATATAGGAATCATACGCCAATACTTACCATACTGTGATGAGCACAATGACAGAAGTACACAGTGGGGTGGAAACACTCCCAAGAGGCTTCTTGTTGTATCATAGAGAGTGAGGTGAGACATCTCAGCTGAGGCTAAAGAGGAACAAAGATGAGAATGAAAGAGTGATGATGAGGGTAGGGGAGTGTTTCCTGAAAGACCAGTAAAGTCCCCCAAGAAAACTGACATTTCATGTGACTGGAGGGTAGGGATATGGGGAGGGTAGCACAGAATAAAACTCAGAAAGTGAGCCAAGGCCAGCTCTTACCAGGCCCCACGGCCAAATTCATTTGGACTCTATCTTAAAGACATTAAGCAGTCACCAACAGGTTTTAGTCAAGGACCATTTCGACCCAAATTTGCCTTTTAGAAAAATTCCTCTGGCTTCATTGAACAGGTTGAAGTGAGCAAGCCTAGAAGTCAGGAAGACAGTTGGGGGTCCTCACAATAAATCAGTGTAAAAGAAAATAGGGCCAGGAATGGTGGCTTCTGCGTGTAATCTCAAAACTTTAGAAGTCCAAGGTGGGCAGATGGTTTGAGCCCAGAAGTGTGAGACTAGCCGAAGCAATGTGGTGAAACCACATCTCTCCAAAAACACAAAATATTATCTGGGTGTGGTGGCTCGTACTTGTGGTCCCAGCTACCCCAGAGGCTGAGGTGGGAGGATGGCTTGAGCCTGGGAGGTTGAGACTGCAAGTGAGCCAAGATCACACCACTGTGCTCCAGCCTGGGCAACAGAGGGAGACTGCCTTAAAAAAAAAAAAAAAAAAAAAAAAAAAAAAATCCCATTCTTACCTATAGTACCCTAATGTTCTCATGAGAACCTTGGTGGCACAGTGAATCCAACTGTTATAATTCAGCAACCCACACATTTAAGTTTGTGTTTCATTTTCTTTCTTTCTTTTCTTTTTTTTTTTTTTTATGGTTCTCAGATACCACTTTAATCAAGTTTTGCACTATACAGTGATGAGGGTAGAAGACGGTGATGGTTTCCAAGCAAATTCACGAGGCACATGTTTGGCCCTGCCCCAAAGTGAACAGTCTGGGCCTCCCAGAACAGAAAAATGCTTTCCTTCCCTGGGGATTCCCATTCCTGAGCTGACAAGACAGATTTCAGTAAGAATGAGCACAAAGGATAGAGCAAAATAGTGAAGGGAGCCAGGTGCATATTTGAATTCTTCCCAGTGCAGACTGGAACTAGACATGCAGGTATCCCTCCTAAAGGCAACACCCAAATCCCAGCCATTCCCACTCGAGGCCAAGCCGCCTGCCCACGGAGACTGATAGCCAACGTTCATCTCATAACGCTCCTCCCAGCCATGCACCAGTAAACTCAGACGCCCGAGTGCTTGTGACCACCACACAACAGATGCGGCCTTCCTCTTCACTGGCCCCTCGGCGGCTGCTGGGTCTGCCTGGCCATCAGGGAGCAGCCAGTACTTGCCTGGCAACAAAGCCAATCAGATGTGGGTTCTGGGGCTGGGTGGACATGGTAGCAGGACCAGGCACCGGCCACAGTAGGACCACAGGGCCCTGTGTCCTGCATTAATTCTTCTCTGGGCGGTTTCTGTTCAGCACAGCTTTCGGGGCAAATTCTAGCTTGTCCTTAAGGCTCACCACCTGGGTGTGGTCCTTGCCTAGAAGCTCATCCAGCTTGCGATCCTCCCGGCGCTCTGAGATGCTCTTTTCCTCCTCCACAGGCTGGGGGTCCTTTCCCCTCATGAACCATTCCAGGTGGTAGCCTACAGCCCCAACCACGAAGGCGACAGGGAATGTGACATAGGGAGCATAGGTACGAACCACGGTCCAAAACACAGGCCACGTGACATCAGGCAGCCTGGCCCAATTTACTGAGCACCCAGTCCTGTGCAGAGCAATGCGAGAGGTTGGTCCCTGAAATAATCTCATTCACGGCCTCATCAACGTCCGTCCTCACTGAGGTGCCGAGAAGCCCTGCCTGCAGCGGGCCAGCTGGGCTCCGAGACTTGGTACCAGAACACCCGCAAAAGAGAGGGTCGTCACGCCTGGCTGGGACCGGTGTGGACCCTAGCGATCACTCCTCCCATAACTCAGAGGTTACGGGCCTGGGCTGACAGGACCTGCTCGCCGGGACCGCGCGCTCACCTGCGGCCCAGCCCACACTCCCCAGTGCGGCCCCCGCTCTCCGCCGGCTGGCCGGGAGCACGGAAGTCGCCGCTCCCAGCGGACCGGGGGACCTTGCCCTGTCTCTTTTTTTTTTTTTTTTGAGACGGAGTTTCGGTCTTGTTACCCAGGCTGGAATGCAATGGCGCGATCTCGGCTCACTGCAACCTCCGCCTCCTGGGTTCAGGCAATTCTCCTGCCTCAGCCTCCTGAGTAGCTGGGATTACAGGCACGCGCCACCATGCCCAGCTAATTTTTTTGTATCTTTAGTAGAGACGGGGTTTCACCATGTTGACCAGGATGGTCTCGATCTCTTGACCTCGTGATCCACCCGCCTCAGCCTCCCAAAGTGCTGGGATTACAGGCTTGAGCCACCGCGCCCGGCCTGTGTTTCATTTTCAATAATATCAGCCCTGTCGATACAAGAAATAAGGAATTGTGTTTGGGCTATCATGGAAGCTCTCCGGATCTTAGACCATGACTTATGCTGAGACGTAAAGACTTGAGTTTTTTGTATTTCTCTCTGTAAGTGCTCAAGTGCAGTGGTCCCCAATATTTTTTGCACCAGGGACCAATTTTGTAGAAGACAATTTTTCCACAGACTTGGGGCAGGGGATCAGTTTTGGGATATTTCAAGCACATTAAATTCATTATGCACTTTGTTATTATTACATTGTAGCATATAATGAAATAATTATATAACTCACCATGAAGTGGAATCAGCGGGAGTCCTGAGCTTGTTTTCCTGCAACTAGACGGTCCAGTCTGGGGGTGATGGAAGACAGTGACAGATTATCAGGCATTAGATTCTCCTAAGGACAGACTAATGTAGATTCCTTGCATGCACTGTTACACAATAGGGTTTGTGTTCCTATGAGCATCTAATGCTGCAACTGACCTGGTGGGAGGCGGATATCAGGCAGTGATGAGGGGAGTAGCTGTAAATACAGATGAAGATTTGCTCTCCCACCCAGTGCTCACTTCCTGCTGTGTGGCCAAGTACAGGCCTGTGACCCAGGGATTAGAGGCCCCTGCTCAAGTGCATCCAAAAGAACTCTTCCCACACCCGTCTTTATACTGGTCAAGTGCAGAAGCCACTTAGCTCCCAAGGCATGTGCCTCAGCTGGTATTTCATCACAATTAACAGTAAGGGGTAGCTTACTGTTACCAGTTTTTATTCAACCACTAATCAGTTTATGACCATTATGGGTTTGTTTTATATTTTGGCTATTATGAATAATCCTGCTATAAACATTTGTATGTATACTTTTCGTGTGCATTATGTTTTTATTTTGCTTGCATGTATACTTAGTGGTGGTTGCTGGATTATGTTGTAACTCTGTATAAACTATTGAAGAATGGCTAGACCATTTTTCACAGGGGCTGTGCAATTTTCACATTCCTACTAACAGTTTATGAGGGTTTGAGTTTCTCTGCATCCTTCTCTACACTTGTTATTGTCCATCTTTTTATTTATATGTGTATTTATTTGGGATGGTCTCCCTCTGTCACCAGGCTGGAGTGCAGTGGTGTGATCTCTGCTCACTGCAACCTCTACCTTCTGGGTTCAAGTGATTCTCCTGCCTCAGGCTCCTGAGTAGCTGGGATTACAGGCATGTGCCACCATGCCCAGCTAATTTTTTGTATTTTTAGTAGAGACTGGGTTTCGCTACATTGGTCAGCCTGGTCTCAAACCCCTGACCTCGGGTGATCCACCTGCCTTTGCCTCTCAAAGTGCTGGGATTACAGGTGTGCCACTGCACCTGGCTGTCCATCCTTTTGGATGGCCATTTTAGTGGGTGTCAAGTGGGATTTAATTTTGGTTTTAATTTTCATTTCCTTGAAGACTAACAATATTGAGCATCTTTTCATTTTCTTTTTGGCTATTTCTATATGTTCTTTGGAGAAATTCCTATTTAAGATTCTTTGCCTTTTTTTTTTTTTTTTTTTTGTGAGACGGAGTTTCGCTCTTGTTACCCAGGCTGGAGTACAATGGCGCGATCTCGGCTCACCGCAACCTCCGCCTCCTGGGTTCAGGCAATTCTCCTGCCTCAGCCTCCTGAGTAGCTGGGATTACAGGCACACACCACCATGCCCAGCTGATTTTTTGTATTTTTAGTAGAGTCGGGGTTTCACCATGTTGACCTGGATGGTCGCGATCTCTTGACTTTGTGATCCACCCGCCTCAGCCTCCCAAAGTGCTGGGATTACAGGCGTGAGCCACCGCGCCCGACCTCTTTGCCCGTTTTTAACATGGGTTGTCTTTTTTATTTTATTTATTTATTTTGAGAAAAGGTCTCAGTCTCACCTAGGCTTGTGTGCAGTGGTGTGACCATGGCTTTCTGCAGCCTTGATCTCCCAGGCTCAAGCGATCCTCCTATCTCAGTCTCCTGAGTAGTTGGGACTATAAGCATGTACCACTAGACCCAGCTAATTTTTATTATCTATTTCTTTCTTTCTTTCTTTCTTTTTTTTTTTTTTTTTTTTTGTAGAGATGTGGTCTCGCTCTGTTACCTTGGCTGGTCTGGAACTTCTGGGCTCAAGTGATCCTTCTGGCTCTAAAGTGCTGAGATTATAGGCACCAGCCACTGTACCCACCTGTTTTTGAATTTTAATAGTTCTTTATATAGTCTAGACACAAGTTATTTATCAGATGTATAATTTGCAAGAATTTCCCCTCTTCCTGTAGTTTGTCTTCTTTATGGTATTTTATGAAACAAAAGGTTTTTAGTTTTGATGTCTAGTTTATCTATTTTTCTTTTCTTTTTTTTTTTTTTTGGTAATGCTTTTGGTTGTCATAGCTAAGAATCCATCAAAAACTCTTAGAATTGTAAATTCAAGGTCATAAAGATTTAAACCAACAGTTTTTTTTTTTTTTTTTTTTTTTGAGGCGGAGTTTTGCTCTTGTTAACCAGGCTGGAGTGCAATGGTGAGATCTCGGCTCATCACAACCTCCGCCTCCTGGGTTCAGGCAATTCTCCTGCCTCAGCCTCCTGAGTAGTTGGGATTACAGGCACGCACCACCATACCCAGCTAATGCTTTGTATTTTTAGTAGAGATGGGGTTTCACCACGTTGACCAGGATGGTCTCGATCTCTTGACCTCATGATCCACCCACCTCGGCCTCCCAAAGTGTTGAGATTACAGGCTTGAGCCACCGCGCCCGGCCTCACCAACAGTTTCTTTGAAGAGCTTTAGAGTTTTAGCTTCTAAGTTTAGGTCTTTGAGCCATTTTAATTTTGTATGTGATGTGAGGTAAGGATGTAGCTGTGTTCTTTTGCACTAGGATATCCAGTTGTCTCCCCTCTGTTGAAGATGATTCTTTTCCCATTGAATGGTCTTGCGCCCTTACTAAAGATCAGTTGACCATACACACATGAAGGTTTATTTCTGGACGTCCATTTTATTCCAAAACAATTGGAATTATTAACTGCTTACGTGTTTCAGGCATGATCATAAGCACAAATTCATTTGCTTCTCACAATAACTGTAAAGTGGGCACTATTCTCATTGCCATTTGACAGATGAAGTGGCCAAGATGCGGAGTGTTTTGCCCAAGGCCACATAAGTAACTACTAAGTGGCAGTGCCAGTGTAAGAATTTAGGTTGAATAACTTGAGAGCCTGAGATCTTCGCCGTGCATGCTGTAAACAAAAGTTAGAAATCAGAACTTCAGAATTCCACTGAAGAGTTCACTTTAAGCTAATGGAGTGAGTGTCAGATTAGCCACTAAGGGTTTGTAAAGCAAAACAGGGAGGGTCTTCCTCCCCAGCTTGCTTTCTGCGGAGCAGCGGCAATGAACCTGCCTTTTTTGGTTGAAACTCCTACATTCCCCCCCGCCCCCGCCTCAGGCTGATAATTTGCACTTAATTACCGGGGCAGTGCTGAGTGGAGCGAGCTAGGGTGGGGCCCGCTGCAAAGGCCTCGCACGGCTCCGCACAGACCCTGGGAGTGGGAAGGCCCAAGGCCGGGAAGCCCTCGTGGGAAGGTGCGTGGTTGCCGCGGTGACCAAGTGCTGAAGCTGGCAGGGCGAGGTCGGGCTCCGTCAGTTCAACTCCCGGCACCTGGGGAGCGTCTGGGCTCCGGCCACCAGGATGCCCAACCTCCTTCATCTTCGGGTCCCAAACGCTCTGCCTCCTGCAGAGAAGCAGCGTTCCGGGGACCCCGCGCCTGCCGCCGGTTCAGCGACCCGCCCTCCTCGCTTTGGAGGAAGAAAGTAAGTCCGAAATCCAGCAGCCGAGCCCTCCTTCCTTCTTTCGTCTAAGTGAGGCTGCTTAGAAGTCCTTTTTCTGAAGGCTGGCTGCATCTTCAGGCGCATCCCCTCCTTGTCAGCTCGTTCACTCGCCGTTGATTCTTTCTCTTCCACCTGAGTAGTTAGCCCGCGTCTTAGAAGATATTTGAACTGGGCGAAAATTTAGCCCAAGTAAACAGCAGTAGGATTTTGGAAGTTATTTGAGCAGCAGGAATTGGCACGAATAGTTCAGTTTCTAGTTTAGGCCATTTCGCTTAGTAGCAAGTTTATAGAGTTTACCTTGTGTACATTTCCTTTACATTGGTTTCTAAATTGAAAGCATGCCTCCCAGTGCAGTCGGAATTACCTTTCTCGTTCAAATTTTCCTGATCTGGTCTCAGTGTAATTACAAGTATCTTGACAAAGTTTCATTCTTGGCCCATTCCACTCATCATCCCAAAGTTTTCACATAGCAGCCAATGTAATGCTATTAAGTTGATCGTGTAATTCCTCTGCTTAAAACTCTGCAGTGATTTCCTGTTGCACTTTAAAAGCTCCTCCTGTCCCCTTTTCACTTGATCTTATGCGCACTCCCATTTCCCCACCTAAACTCTTCAGCTTAACTGGACTTTTAGTCTGAAAACTCCTTCAGGTTTTCTTTCTGTCTCAGGAAAAAGACCGTTCACACACGCCTTCAGCCTGTATTGTCAGTGGCCTTCCTTGACCATGCTAAGTAGGCTCCCTTGTTGGTCTTTTTCATCGTCTTAGCGATTATCCTTTCTAATTAGCATAATTTGT